ATGCATCGGTATTTTTTATGAAAAAAGTTATATGAATTTATAAAAATTAAGGGGGCCCCACCAAAACGCCCATACTAACCACTCCTTCGTGCAGGAGCCACCTTAAAAACTCGATCTTCCGATAAGCGTCCCATATGCTAATCGTCAATTTTCCCTTTAAAATCGTTATTTTTTTTCTCTCCGGTTTCTCATCGATACGCTTTCAGCGAACATTCCGCGCGATCGTACATCCGGCACTACCGTATCAATAACGCCGCACGCGTCGGACGTCGATCAAGATCGGCGACGATCGATCGTGCCGAGGAGCGTGCGAGAGAAGCGAGGGAGAGAAAAGTCGAGGGACGATATATTATGTCGCTCGGGGGATTGGCACGTTTACCGACGCCGCGTGTCTCCATTCTCTCTTCGCCCGACCGAAGGAGGATGAACACGGCGAGTCGGCCGAACTACCGAGACGACGACGGCGCGAGGAGTTTCGCCATCGCGAGACTCGCGCGTCCTCGCGACGGCGTCGCGTTCTCCTATCTCGTGACGCGATTTACACCGTCGTAAAGGTCAGAATCATGAGCTTGCGGTTTTACTGCTTATTCACCTCCTCCGCACAATATTAGCCCGCTCGCGAGACCAAGCGATTTTAGCCGCTCTCCGGCGCTCACCTCCTTCGCCGCGAGGGAAAACGGCGTTGTGTCGAAGCTACCTGGAACACGTTGGCGAACACCGAATTCGCCTTTGTTCGCCGAGACGGGTTTTCGCGTTTTTATCGCCCGACGTTAAATCCTTGTATCGCGCGGCCGTGTACCGCAAGTTAAGCAGACGCAGGTACATTTGTATGCTATTCGCTTTTATTGCGATTCCGCGAGACTGTATTCCCGAATGCGTGCGGCCTGTCTACGTATTCGCCGAGAAATCTGCAAAGGTGAGCTCAAAGGTACCACTGTATATTATTCAACGAGCCGCATTGAAAGCGGCGTATTCTTTGAATATGAAAAACTCTATATCAGGCTTCTTTCAGTGTCAGACAGTTACCGTGTACAGCACGAGATAGAAACGTTTGCAAAACTCACGCTGTTATTCGAGCGGAGATCTTTTCAGGAGTCAACTCGACACCTGGATACGCGCCTGCGAATTTATGAATCGCGCGATTAAAATGCGGAGAACGTCGATTATCTTCGTCCCCGCTCTTCTACCTCGGGTACAATTTTCTCTCGCGCCACTGTCTCTCATGTATATCGATCCCGATGAGAAATCCGGCTCGGCCCTGGCCCCGAACTTCCGCCGATCGGTATCGAGACAAAGCGAGCGGAAGAGCTGGACTCGCCCTTGACCTCGCTCGTCGAAAACCCGTCGAAACAGCGCGAGGAAGACACCGCGGTGACCCGTACCGTGTCCCCTCGTCCCCCTCACGCTAAAGGAGAACGAGCTGAAGTCTTTTCGAACCGGGTCAGGGATCTCTTCTAGCGCGGCTTACTTTTTCTAGAGCTAGCTCTGCACGTCCCCGATCTGGAACGCGAGCTCGTGTCAAAGGTAAAGGCGAATTTACCGTTGGCCGTTCACTTTTCACGGCCAATCGTGCCGAATTCATCGTGCGCAGAGTGAAAGAAGCTCGTGTAAAACAATGGCGTCTGCGAGGAGCGCGGTCGTCCAGGCTGAACGACGACAGAGAGACGATCATCCCGTACTTTCGCCCAAATTGGGCGATCATGCGAGTGGCATCATGTTGCTCCGCGTATTTATATCCCCGAGTGACTAGTAAGAGTGTTCGAGAGACAAGATTTCTTTTGCAAAGAAAGTAAATGTACACGTGGAGCAATTTAGGATTCAATCTTTACATAGATTTCGTAACAGTCATCAGCTTGGAACGTGTTCGCATGTGTTTCCTTTGCGATTAAATGAATTTAAGTTTTATCTCTAGCTGTTTATCTTACTTTCTTACACTATACAGGGTGTCCCAGGAGGAAAGGTCAATATTCTGGGAGGTGATAGTATCGGCCATTTTGAGCAAAAATGTTCATATGAATATACGTCCCATTTTCCACTGTTTCCGAGATAGAACTACTTGAACGTCTCGTGCATTTACTTTTTTTCTCTACACTCTTCACCCTTCATCCAATCTCATAAACGTCTGCGGAAGGGAAACAGAAGAAACGTGAATACACGAGACGAGAGATTTGCTCGCTCAAATAATCGATGTACTCATTGTCAGACGAGCAACACGCCATGTTGACACAAAAGTTGAAAAATGCATTATTATTAACGGTGAAACTTTTTTAATTTGTCACTTGAACAATAAATATTAGAAATAGTACGTAGTATTTCTTTCTTGTCAGTAATTTTGCAACTGTACGTTCAAATAGCTCTATCTCGGAAACAGTGGGGACTGGGACGAATATTCATATAGACATTTTTGCTCAAAATGGCCGACACTCTCACCTCCCAGAATATTGATCTATTCCTCCTGGGACACCCTGTATATCAAGATACTGAACTGGATCAGACAATCTGAAGATAACATGTCTAAAAAGTGAACTAATTCGTCTTATGGTAATTCGAGGGATTCATGAGAACGTGAACGGACTCGAGACCCTTTGAAAAACAAAAAAGCGGAGCGATCAACTCTTCCGATTTATTCACCGAGAAATGGACCGTGTCTTCCCTGCGATTATCGATTCGATTGTATTCACAACGGCGAAACCCGCAGTCGCCTTTCCCTTATTCGCGCACCGACCGGAAGCGCTCGTTGCTCATCGGCCGCGACCTCAAATGCGTCGCCTTCGCTGTGACGACGACGACGACGACGACCCGCGCATGTGGGTCGCACTTAGCCCACTTCGCCGACAGTCGTCGCACCGGTTGACACGAGGCGAACCCACGTGAAAAATTCCAGGTCGCGATCACGCGGTAGACAGCGCGGTGCGCGCTCTCGAGATCGCAGCGCAGCCTCTCGTTATCTCTTATCGACTTGCACATCGGATCGAGATGTTCCGCCGCCGGCGGACCGTCCACGGTACGCGCGGGCTTGGAAATCCTCGCGCTTGAAGGAACGACGTTCAAACGCTCCAGTAATGAACAAATAAACGATATAACGATACCTACTTATGTATATTTTACTTTGACGTGCATTTTCACTTTTTATTTCACCAGTAAAAATGCGATACGTAAAGCAACATGGCTCAATCCGCGCCGTTTCGGGCTCAGATTTATAATATGCCAATATAAATAGAATGGCGGCAGAGTAAATTTCTGTATTGAGCAATTTTTCCTTCTATTCAATTTTAAACTTATGCTGTGAGTTTGTTACTCAAGATATCTTTATCCGTCATAAATCTTCAGCTTCCATTTTAACAAAATCTTTAATCGATGCGTGGTGGCAATCTGTTCTTAGAAAACAGACAAAGAGCTTGTAGCAATTTTCTGATATTCGACACGAAACATTACGAAATATGTGAATCTCGAGTACTTTTGCTGAGCGGAGGAAGGCCTGCACGAACGTCTGGAGCGCGCATCACGTGAGAACGCATTGTTCGGAGCCGTTGTGGATATATTACTTAAGGATCCCCGACGGAAATATTACAGGCTACGCGGAACTTCCTCGTATGGAGAGGAATAACGGCAGAATCGCTTCCGTGCTGCCCGCAAAGGAAATTAAAGTCCCTGTGTCTTAAGGGGAGAGGGAAGTTCCGCGACTTGCTAATTGTCAGACGCGCGAAGAAAGGTGCATTAATTAACCCCCGCGGGCATTAATTGCGTTAGCACACCGGCGTGTGCGTTTATACCTCGCAACACGATCGACAAAAAGTAAGAGTGTACGCGTCATTTCAGGAATCCGGCGGCTTCTGATCGCCGAAGTTCGCACCACGAGTGTTGCCTTCGAGACACAAAACAATTTACACCTCTACGCCGAGATAAGTCACGCGCTCTCTGTATCTGCCGCGCGTATCTTAAAGAAAGCACATACTGTTATTAAGAAATTCCTTCAATTGAGACGTCGGGAGCGAGAGGTCGTGAGAGATAAAAGAATTTCATATTTAGAGGGGGGGGGGGGGGACGCTGGAGTGATTCTGCACCTTTTGCACTTTATGCACCTAGAACTGTCAATTCATGAAAAATTTGTATAATATACAAATTATGCGGCCTTTGTGTGCAGACCGACAGTGTCCCAGTAATCGGACTGAATCAGAGAACAGGTGTCATTGAAATTAACTAACTCGGGTGAATAATCCGACACCAGTGGCAACAGGAAAACTTCCTTTATTGGCACAACGTTTCGGCGAGGGAAACCGCTGACCAAAATCTTGTACACCAATGCCCACTAATGCCCAGTGGGCATTACTTGATCTTATTGTCTTACTTTATCTTGTTTTATTTTATTTTATCTTTATATTGCCCCCAGTGATGTTCCATAGGAAGGATTTCCTTCATTTGGAAGGTTTTTGGACGCTTTGGACGGTGGAAGGAAGGTTTTTGAAAAAGTTCTGAAATTGAAGGTTTTTTGGCATATAATATATATAATATATAATATATAATATATATAAATCACAAAGAAAAAACAACGTTCTATCATATCAAAGATGATATGTACAAAATCTATTCTTGGTGTAATCGGCAAAAATATATTTAAAGGTTCTTGAAAAAGAAACAGCTAAACTTTGAACTAGTGCAACTAGTTTAGGTAAAACGAACAAACCTTATTTGTATAAATATAATATATAGGCCTAGTTTACATCGATCATTTAATACGCGTATTAAGTAGTTATTTCCTATAAAATAAATTTAGTCATTGGCTGATTAGTTAGAACTCACTATTTGATACGCGTATCAAATGATCGGTGTAAACTAGGCTATAGTTTGAATTGAAGGTTTTTCACTGCCTAGGAAGTTTTTTTGAGTATGCGCGGAAGGTTTCCCCATTCCAGTATGGAACATCACTGATTGCCCCAGCAAGGCCTAATGCCCAAACTAATGCCCAAAAAACGCCACAGTAATGCCTAGTAATGTCCAGTAATGCCGCAAATTTGTACACCACAATACCCTCAGCGGTTTCCCCTTCGGTTTCGGCCATGGGTTTCGGCCCTTATCAAGTGCGATCAGACAAATTCAAATGCATGGCATGTGGTCAAATGCGTAATCGGACAAATTAACCATCGGAAACTCTATTTAATTGGTTTATCCGATGGAAATTTTTCTCAGTGCGCGTTCATCAACCCGTACAATTCTCATCGATCAAAAGTTTCCGATTAATATACTCGGTTCTTTACGAGCCTCGATTGCGCAGGCTGCATATTGAAACGCGATTAAAAAACGAGAGAGACACAAAAAAGGTCGACTTGTGAAATCGCGTATTATGTCGGAGCACGTTTCAAGATAATAGCGATTGCCAACTTCCTCGCCCCGTTCAAGACTGCGCGACGGCAGATAGTGTGCCCCGAGTACGCCTGCTTGTTTACACGATTCCGCCGAGTTCCTCGGTGCCTTGGCGGCGGCCGAGCGGAATGGCGAAGCCCCGCTGTAATCCGAGAATTGCCGGTGCGCTCGGATCGAGCGAGCGAGGCGAAACGGCGGTGAAGGCGAGCGATGGCGAGAGCTGCCAATTTCGCGATGCGCGCGTAATTGGGGACACACGGCCCGGCTCGTCCGCGTTGGTCCGCGTCTCAAGGAAAGCGCGCCGAAACGCGCGCGCGAAATTATCCGAGCGATCCGTAATTCGCGCGCGGGAGGTGGCCAGCCAGCGGCGCGAACGCGAAAAACCCCGTGACGGAGGCGCTCGCCGCCGTTCCCCGTCGGCGCGAGACATCGAAACCGTTGCCAATTTGCAATTGCCAATTCTCGGGATCGGAAATATTTTTAGTATCCGCGTAGTCGCGCTTTATGCGCTGCGTTCAAATACGCGCCTGCCGCCGCTCGATACGGCAATCCTCGATGCCGCGCGGAGGATACGCGCGCGAGATATATCTGTGAGATAGATTCGACACACGAGATACATCTCCGTCGCTATTTTCGGAAGACAAATCGACGCGGTTGCGGTGCGAGACGAGGAGTTTTACAGCGCGAAGCTTATGCTTATGCGGAAATTACGTGTAATCCCCTTAAATAAAGGTACTTGTTTTCAAAACATCCCCGGTACTCACCATCTTCAAAGTCTCCTCGGGCCTCAACAGGTAGAACATGGACTGTAAGTGTTGCTGGATATCGCATCCTGCCGCCGAGACCCGCCTCGAGGGTCGAGCTCTCTCGTTCGGCGGTAAAACCAGGGCTGCGCCCTTGCCCGCGAAGTAACATTCGCTCAGACTGCAAAAATAACAAACGGTAATACTTTAATAAGCTGCTCTGAATATTCCAATGCAAATGAGATCGTGATAATCGTACAGTAAGGTGGACGATAGAAATGTAGTTAAATTTACCATTATTGTGATTGTATTTACTATAATATATAAAAATAATTAACTAATTTACTCTATTCATTACCCGGATATTTTAACAGAATAATAGTTAAAACTTGCATTTTATAGTAAACTTTTTAAATAGTTGGCATCACTA